CCCCAAAACCCCAAAACCCCAAAACCCCAAAACCCCTACAAAACAAATTTAGGTTGAAATTTTACTCATCTTTATCTTTTTCTTCTTCATATCTTTTCCCTGATAAATCTTGTCAAATTCCCAAGTTCAATTTCTGGAAGACACTAAGTTGCTGATTGACAAAGGTCATCCTGCTAAAGCTATGTTGCCCTGGGTTGGAGCCTTCAGGGTTAACTATTATTGCCAAATCATCAGGCTTGATAGCATCATGGTGTGTACTAGATTCTTCAAAATCCCTAGAAATTACAGATTAAGCTTACCCATCTTTGTCAATGAGGATGTTAAAAGTGAGTACTTCGCCTTCTCGGATATGTTGCATTTCAACATCTTCGTTCATACCATATTCATTGTCAAGGTTTATAATTCCATAGTAAGGAATGTACTCTCTGGTCCTGAGAATATAGAGCATTGCAGACATGATCACGAAATCAGTCACTTCATGACATATAAAGAATACCTGATCCCCAGTTCTTGAGGACGGAATGCCTAGAATGCTGAAAACTCCATGGTATAAAATTTCGAACAGGAAAAACGCTACTATGACCATTGCAGACTGTTTCATTATCTTTAGCTTGATGTTTATTGCCTGCTCTGGATACCTATTGTTCCTAGCGACTCTTTGGAACATTTGTAGCTTTTCGACCACGTTACAGCTATTCAAAGTCATGTAGACCATCAGCGCAATATTTATCGAAGTGTATAGTATTGTGCCAATACTGTAAAATTCATTAAATACGAGCAGGATGAAGATCACAAGATAGTTCAGCAACATAGCAGACAACATTATTACAAAGCTCTTCATCGAGACGTTTGATCTGGCAATCTTAAATCCAATGGAGGTCAAAAAGAATGATCCAATAAGGATGCTCTCAAATACGAGATTTAGCAAGATCTTGATTAAAACTATGTAAATCCTCAAACTCGCTGTCTTCCATGGGCAGGTATAAAACAAAAGATAATTTACCACCATTAATATGAATTTTACAGTAGGAGGGATCGACATCAATCTATGTAGCACAGTCATTGTGCTTGGATAATGCAGAAAGTTTCGATAGAACCATATTGACAACACTATTCAATAAGCCACTATCATAGCAAGGGTAACTTTCATCTCCAAGCCAAGCATTGGGCAATTAAAGTCGATTAAATGATAAACTCTACTTGAAATAGTAGGGTTTCCTACATATTTCTCAGGAATTGTTTCCTTGGTCTTGAGTACCAAGACATCGTCAGAATTTTCAAAGAATCTGAGAAGGTTAAAAACACTGCCAGTTTTGTCTCCTTCTATAATTTCAGCGTCAACAATGATGACATCCGCCAAATAAATTGTTTTGCCATCGGCATCCTTATATCTTCAAATTCCGTCACTTTCATGAGCACAGAGAGTCATTTTTGTCTTATCATATTTGGGATCGATAGCACTAGAAACTAATTAGGGCACCTTACGGTCAGAAATAAACATGAAGGATAGTTGGGCGTAAAGAAGCAATAAGACTTACTGTTTAGCCATATACCAGATTAGCTCTTCTCCTTCTTGCTTCTCTACAGCATTGGTTAGTCCACACGGTACTAAATAACTTACTTAAATATCAGTTTTCAAAGAATTGATCAGGGTGATATGCTTCTCAGACTTTGCCATTGTAGACATTCTTGGTATAGCCTCCGGTTTCAAGGCTGAAATAGTAATCCAAATTCATTTGATAAACAATCATGCCAGTTGAGACATTCTTAAAATCAATCGAGTCTATAAATAAGGTAATTAGCTTACTCTTGTTAATTTTGAACTCCTGGGATTCCTCACAGGCTACAAAGACAAAGAGAATTCCAATTAGCAGGGAGAAGGCATACATATGATCAAATTCAATTATATAAAAGCTTTTGGGGTTTTGGGGTTTTGGGGTTTTGGGGTTTTGGGG